TTTTTTTATTTTTCTCTTTATGCATGTGTGTTATGTAATAGTAGTATAGTCATATAGTTGCCGGGAATTAACCTGTAAAACTGTATACCATGTTGGTATAGTTATATGCCATATTGGTATCTTATGGTAGTTTGAACATTTTTTTTGGTTGTTTTGGCTGTATTTTAAAGTGAATTTTATTCAAAAATTATTTATATGAACGTGATTTGCAGTGCTGGAAAATTTTGGTGTTGATGGATATAGATTATGTGTATTATGTAATAGTTTTATAATTATAGGCAATTGTTGGAACGACCCATACAACTATACACCCTGTTAGTATATGGAATGAGCAAGTTGCTTTGCGAATATTTAGCTTGCAACGCGAGCATGTAATTTTCTCACACTTTTATTGTATCCTTTAATGTTTTGGTACAGTAGTATAGTCACAGATAGTTGTAACAATATTCTAGAGCAATCATATACTCTGTTGGTATACATGTATACCATATTGGTATCATGTGGTACTAGAAGTCTTTTTTGCTACTTATATTTTTATTGAATTTTCCAATATTTTATTATCATTTCTATTCTAACTAGTATATATAGAAATTTAGTGGCCGTAGATTATATTGTCTTACTCCATCACTGGTTGGTGTTACTGCTAATGGTAGAGTATGTACTAATATTTGTAGGGAAGGAGATCAAGGTTTGCATGGCAATCACGTGAAATTAAAAAAGGAACAAGAAATAAAGAAAGAAAATAAAAAAGGAGTCAAATTAGAGTGTGAAATAAGTTATGGTAAAAATAACAATAATACGATTTGGGCAAAACTAAATGAATAAAAGAGAAAAAATAAAAATAAAAAATAGGAAGAAAATGAGAAAAAAAGAAAAGGATAAAAGAAAAGAAAAAAGGAAAAAAAAGAAAAGAAGCATAGAAATAAAAAAGAATTGGAGAATAAAGAAAAAATTCCCCACAAAAACTGCTATGGGTAGGAAATGTAATTAGTTTATGGGTAGAAAAACAAATGGGTAGACAAGGGTAAATAGTTTTATTTTTGTGGGTAACTGTGTCAAAACCCCTTCAATTAAGGGATTCAATTACATCCTTTCCTTTTTTTTCCCTTCTCATCTTCTCTCTCATTTTTTTAAAAAAATCAAAATCCCTTAATCTACGTCCAGATTCTCCACCTTCTCTCTTCACCATTGCCTACAACTTTATATTATTAAAAAATATTCAAAAATTATATGATAACTGTATCATTATTATAGTTGTATCGTATCAGATACATCAATGCCTAAAACATAAATGTAATACTTGTATCACAATTGTATCTAACTTGTATCTGGTACATTAATACCCAAAATAATACATGATACAATACTAATAAATTAATATACAATTATCTTATTTATGATACAAATTGTGAAATTCATCATAAATTCACAACTGCTCGTAACAATATACAATGAATACACAATTATTATACCTTTTGTAATACAATTCCTGCAACGATTATGATATAATCGCGATACATTTCTGAAAATTTGTGATACAATTATGATCTTTATTTTCTTCAAGTTTCAATCACAGCTCTACACTAAAAATTTAATATAATAGTATAATAATCGTATTAGTATTGTATCCACAACTTACCTACAACTTGATTGTAGAGCAAATATGTGTAAATTAGAGGAATGAGAGGTGTATTTCAAGTGTAAGTATCCACGACGAAGGCAGTTTTGCAAATCTATGACTGCCTTTGGTTCATAGTTGTGTTTGTTTTGTGTAAATTATTTCGTGGAAGTACATATCATTCTTTTTGTTGCTAGTTTGTAATTTTCTCCCCTCTAAGCTGCAGAACTTGCGACCTTGTTCTTGTAATCTCTTCCACTATGGGTTTATTTATTTCAAAAGAGATTTGAAAGAGAGAAATCGGATATCAAAAGCTTTGGAAGAAGAAAGGATCTACAATTTTGGAGGATAACAGTGGATGATTGAAAGAGAGAAATCGGATATCAAAAGCTTTGGAAAAGGAGTGAGTAAGCGAGATTTTTGAGTTAAAAAGATTTTGGGCATCAGTGGGCAAGGGAGAATTCTTACGGTGGGTAAGTACAAAATTGGAAGATGTTTTGTAATCCATTTGGAAAAGGAAGAAAATCTTGAATGTAAGGGATTATATGTAACTGATACGCTATATTTAAGGTATGTTGCATTCCTCTTTTTTATGGTTATGTATAAATCTAGTAAATATAGGTATATAAAGTAATTAACAAAGAGCCTAAATAAAGGTAGTAAATAGGTTTCTGTCATAGTATAATTAGGTAAAAATCCCTTAAATTTACTATGGGATTTTTCTTTGAGTCAATTTCACTTTTACCCGCTGATCACGCCCAACTATGCCTTATAAAAAGGACAAAACGGTCGCTGCAAATATATTCCGATTAACAAGTCCGGAGTCGAATCCCACATGGAATTAACCTATCAATCACAGCTATTGGGCTCACAGAAATTCACGTATTCAATCTTCAGAGATATTTGATTAACAATTTGGGTGCTTATTAACAAAATATTATGTAATAAAAATGCAGTAAATTAAGACTAGCTATAGAACTGATTGTAAGCAAGAATGAGAATGGTCTAAGGTTATGATTTCTCCTCTTGTCGGAATCCTTTTCGCTATGTTTGCTATAAATTTGCCTAAATCTTCTCTATCGATCATGAGCACTCTGATTGTCGTAACTCTCTCCCGAGTAGTTACAACAATATACTAGACATATTCTCCCGAATTACGCTAGCTGGCCTTAGTTACAACTCACTTAGATCGCACCCAAGGTTTCGTTATCCCCAATCCCACCTTTAATGTATTGATCCCTCATATACGTTAGGAGTGGTGTTGTTCAACAACTACCTAAATATACACTCTCCCCCGAGTAATGCATACTAAATAGACACAACCAATTGAGGGGCCTTCAATCAACAACAATCACAATATAGTTGAATAACCGGAGAAATTATTAAGCAATTCTATATTAACATATCAGAAATTCATCCTCCAAGAGGTTCCATCAAAACCCTATATTAAATGTTTAGCTACACATAATCGTTTTCACAATCACAATAGTAGAATTCATCATTAATGATCAAAACAAGAGGAAGAAAGGTAAAACTTTATGCCGAATCTTCCGCCTTGCCTCTTGCCTCTTCTTGCCTTCAACAATCCTTCAAAAACCTTGATACCCTCTATTTGGGCGACCTATGCTTCTTGTATGTTAAGGAGAGTTGCCCCCGAAGTTACGAAATTACCTTGAAAATAATATTCCTCGAGGTGACGAGCGCGGCCGC